TCCTGCCAAATTTCATGTTGATTGGTGCAGCCGTTTTTTTGCTACGGTTGACCAAAAATCACTGGAAAAAAAAGGTATGAAAACAATATGACTCCTGCTTACACTTGACATGCAGGGGTCATAATATTAAATATACTTTATTACTAACTGAAGTCATCATTTTTCAACAAGCTAAAGTCTAAGTTACAGGCTGACTTCAGGGCTGGTTTAGATCATTATTTATAAATTACAGTATATATATTTTTTGGCAAATCTGCTGTTTTACGTGATTGTTGAATAATATAGTTATTAATTTATTGTAAAAACATGACAGATAATCTGTGAAACAGATCCAGTTCAGCAGCTGTTTATCTATTAGTTTCTATGGAGGCTGTGAGCTGTTTTTCTGTTTGGTCTCTGTTTCTGCTCCTCCATGCTGTCACAGACRCTACCAGTGGACGGTATGGGCGGGACTCAGTCTAGTGGTTAAAACCTATGGTTTTAACCCTTTGTGTCTTCATTTAGACCTAYGGTGAACGTCTCAAACTGGTGACTACTTTTGGAAAGTTTCATTAAAATTCATAGGGTGGTTTGTGAGATATTTTGCAAAAAGRGATGGAACTGAAAGTTTGTGTTTTTAAATAAATTCAAGCAACTTTATTCCATAAAACAAAGKGCACACATCAAAAACTGGATTACCAAAATAAAAGAACAACAAAAAAAGCAATAAATACAACACCAGTTGGAAATAATACATCTGAAAAACAAAATAATGCACTGGTAGAATAAAAGGCAAAATTAAAGCAACTTTTCAACTGCACTGAAGTTGATCTAATATTCAGATATTTAAAGTAATGACACAGAATAGGTAAGTTATTGCTACACAAACAGAACTCACAATGATGAGAGTGATGATCGCTGCTCCAATAAGCTGACCGGACCACTTCCTGTTTCTGTTTTTGCCGTTGAGCTTGTGATTGTTTTAGTTACAGATCAGCTGATGGTTGTTAGAGAGCATCATAGAGCTGGAGACTAAAACCAGGGCTTATTTAGTAATTCAACAACTTAATAATGTATTAARAATAACATGGAACTAACCAGGTACCTTAAAGAGTACTTTTGTACCTGGTTCCACTTTGTATTTGTCAGCATATCTACCTGGTACTAACTTGGAACATATCTGATATTTAGGGAGAAAGTATCACTCATGTAACTCATACTTACCAGGTACATCCTATGTAACGTATATAACTACCTGGTACTTATARGATTTGTACCTCATGCAAGTGCCCAGTACTTACAGATTATATAACCCATGTATGTACCTGGTATGTCACATATAAACACCCTATACAAGATACATATCAAGTACATCTCATGTAAGTACTTGGGTATGAACATGGAAGTACCAGTACTTTTAAAGAATGTGTGCTATATAAGTTCCTGGTAGGTACATACACTGTAAGTAGTGAGTACTTATATGAWACTTATGTACCTGGCACTTACTTAGTGTATATACCTGGTGCCTACATGGGACGCAGCAGGTACTAACTTAATATGTACCTAGAACTAAACTGGTAAGCACTTGGTACATACCWAGTACTTACATGGGACATACCAGGTACTATCTTGGACCATCTCTGGTACTTCAATTGGATGTTTATGTTATTTGGTACTAGGTACCCATAGGGACTATGTTATATTCTGAAGTAACTTGTTACCCTGTAAGTATCTGGTACTTACAGGATACATACTGGGCTATAATATGTACTGCTAACATTAAATCAATCCAACAAACCTAAATAAACTCTGGATAAAAKAAACTCGTGTTTTTGTGGCAACCTGACATTCACAAATGGTCCTGCAAATAAAATAAAATACAACAATCTTMTTTACAGTACATGTTAGGAACCGCAACAGAATCAACAAAACACACTTCATGATGTGCTCGCGATTCCTCTCAAATGATCTGAAACTGAGGGGTCACATCGAAGTCACAACAGATCAAGTTTACACATTTAACTGAACTGCCTCTTCACTGAGTAATAAATCAGCGAGGCTGAGAGGTAAACAACGGCGAGCAACTCAGAAGATTCACAGAAAGAGGAGGATGGCCACAGTGTCTTCAGGAGGCCAATCCAAGAAAAAAGCCCCCGACGAACCCGCTGGACAGGACAATGTTTCTCTTTATAAAGTCTGTGGCCTGCAAAACAAAAAAAATTCATTTGCTAACAAAAATTAGAAAGATTACAAATATTTTCTAAAGCGAAACCCAGTTTGGTTTTTTCTGAGCCTATTCAACTGCATGTAATATCACTACACTTACACTGGAGGGCACTGTTTTTCCAAGATGAAATAAGCATACATATACTGTATTTACGTTCATATTTACAGAGTTGGGAGTGAAGCAGTCTGTTTAAACAGATGTAACTAAATGTTAACATTTACGTATTAATGAGTAAAAGTGTGAAAGAAAAAAACAGGCTCTGTTTCAGGTACCTTTACCTCCTCAATGAATGTGTTTATTTCAGGAGCCGCTTTGTTCGCTTTCTTCTTCAGGCGCTTCTTTGCTTTGTTCACGTCCTTCTCCACCTTCTTCCAGTCCACCTGAACGTAACCGCTGTGGTTGGCAATCTGTAAGAACAATTCATGCTCTGCTTTAGTTTTTGGCTGATGTTTTTACTCAAATAACCTTTRTTCAAACATTAATGTGTCACTGTTTCCTGCTGTCACAGACTACCATCCGCTGTAAGCAATAGGCGRATAACAGCATTTTTATCAAGGTCTGTAGCAAAACAKCTGYGCCTGTTAGCAAAATATCTCATGAACCCCTGAATAGAYTTTAATGAAAYTTAGATAGTAGATCTGCAACTTATTAACCTTTAGATCAACCTGATTTAAGCTGGTTGCTCCGGCTATTCAGTCATATGAAAATGGTCATWATCCAGTTAAATTTACAAGTATCATCCAAAAATTGAACGTGGTGGTAGCTGGCATCATTCACAACACATAGTCTGAGCGTGACTTCCTCAGAGTGTCGGATCAGGTCTGATGTTACCATCAAGGTTTGACCAGAACACCTCCGAATTTATTATTCCTCAGTTTAATTAGTCGTTGTTTTAATCTAGTTGTGATATACTGTAATTAAGAATGCTTGTAGAAGACAACGCCACGCGCTGCTACGACTACAGCTCCGTTAGAGAACCCAGATGGCCCGCGTGCTCTCGGCGCCAGCTCACGCACAATGCTGGTCTTTCTGCCGTGGAGCGAGGACCAGCTGAGCGACGTGCTGTGCAACTGGCAGCGCCGCTCGTCGACCACGCCGGCCAAATCCTAATCTTACAAGCATGGTTTCACTGAGGCGCTTCTWAACAAGAGTTTGAATGCCGTTACCTGTAGAAGAAGGAACCCGCCTCCAATAGCAGTCGCTGCTATCTTCCCAACTCTTTGGAAAACGTAGCCGGCGCACCTGGAAAAAATAWAAATAAATATAAATAATAAATAGAGGACTGTTGCTCAGATTGTTTGAACTGAATTGAGTTATTTTACTTTTTTTTGTTATCTTCCACAATTTAGAGGTGGAATCACTGGATGAGTTTTAATCAAACTCTCAGTAATTATTTCTTGGACGCACATCTACAGTTCACTTTTGAAGTCAAGCTGGTTCRAGATGGCTGCCGCAGCCAAGTGATCCTAAAACGCACAAAAATGGCTTCAACGCCAGTACTTTTACCCAGCTAAAATTTAGTGAGGTAGAAACTAAGACTAACTTACAACACATACTAAAACTAACTTACAACACATACACCAACTGCTCCATGTTGGGTGACATCTTTGATTAAGACTTCAACCAAAACCGTCTCGTCCTACAATGATCTTAGTCCAAGATTGTGGGGTCAAGATTCCCACAAAGAAAATACCTGTATCGTACAAACAGAGCAACCGTTAGTTGATGTCCTTACCATCCGGTCACCCCTCCCATCATGAGCTGAGTCGCCACCGAATACTTCTCAGCGATCGGGCCGGAGTTGTTGCCAAACACCCGGCTCCACCACTGGTGGCCCCGTGCGTAYTCTGTGAGGTCCACAACCTCGTAGACCTCGTCGTCGCTCTCCGGGTCGTCCTGACCTGCKGTGTGAACAGGAGCATGGCATAAAATACCAAACTAGTGGCTCATGTAAAAGCAGAGGCTTTACCTCCTTTGTTGTTCTGTTGTTTTACTAAAAGTAAGAGGTGAGTGAGTATATATGTTAGAATATTAACCTCAGCCAACACATACATCTCTATAACTCAGTCAGATTTAAAGACACTGAGCTGGATTGTGTATAAYGTTATTTTTAAACTCTGACTAAAACTGCTACGACTCAACAAAATATGCAATCCTCAAGAGAATGTTATTTTTTTTAATTTATATTTGTGATTCGTGCTGGCAAAAAAAGTCAGAAGAAGCACAAGCTGATGTGCGAAATATAGTGGTGTGGAAAAGTGTTGGTCCCCCTTCCTGATTTCTTATTCTTTTGCATGTTTKTCACACTTAAATGTTTCAGATAGCCAAATAAATTAAAATATGAGACAAAGGTAACACAAGTAAACACACAATTTTACAAAAAAAATTATAAATGAAGGGAATAGTTTTTAAGGGGAAAAGAAATCTAAAGCTGAGGGGATGTGTGTGAAAAACTGAAGCCCCTGTGGTTTATCACAGGGGTTCTTAACCTTTTTGACCTCGGGGCCCAATTTGTTGAACATAAAGGCCCACTCAAACATTAACAATGTACAGATCAAAATGATAATTATTCTAAATCTTGGTTTAATTTTTATTGTATTTACATCATAACTAAACTATCATAACTAACATAACTAAATTAAATACACTTACAGTTTAAAAATAAATTTCCTGTCAAATAATCACAAGACATGATTATGACAAACATTTTTATATTGTAACCTGCCCATAACAATTAGTTGAACAAATACAGTCAACAGACCACTCAGGCTTATCAGCACAAATATATATATATATATAAACAACAAAAATAGACAATTAAAAAAATTGTGTGCATAAAATAAATACATTAAAAATGTTTATTGTAAATATTTAAAATAAAAAAATATGTAAAAATTAATTTGATAAAGTACAAATGAAAATGTAGCCTTCTTAAACTTTTGCAACCAGCTGTTCTTCATATTAGTGACAAACAATAACAGTAACAACAGCTTTTTGACCAGTTTAAATTTTCTTTAAAATACATTCAAAATGTTTTAAAATATAAACTACAAAAATTAATTTAAGGTCCAAATGAAAATATAGTTCAGCAACTGTATTTGATAATGTTTTGAATTTTTTTTTAAATATTGCATGGTAAAAGCAGAAGCTGTATTTCATATTAGTGACAAACTTTGGCGTTTTTTGATGGGTTACCTTCATTTTTGCTTCTACTCTTCATTTAAAATAAGTTTCCATTCRGGTTTCTAAGGTGAGTGGYGCACTACTGCTACTAGTGGTGAGAAAGTGTATTGCACCTTWTTCAAACAATGCAGTCCCACRGCCCTCTGCGGCCCWAAGTTAAAAACTGTTGTTCTTTTGAGGCCCTAAAGGTTGCGCTCATGGCCCACAATTGGGTCGCGGCCCAYRGGTTAAGAATCTCTGTTGGACAGCAGAGTTTTATTTTCCTAGCCTGATTACTGCCATACCTGTTCTCAATCAAGAAACCCCTTAAATAGAACCTGCCTGACAAAGTAAAGACCAAAATACCTTAACAAACTAGACATCATGCTGAAATATAAAGAAATACAGAAATTGAATCTATGAGTCTGTAAAATGTTATAAATCCATTTCTAAAGCTTTGGGGCTCCAGTAAACCGCAGTGAGAGCCACTGTCCACACATGGTGAAAACATGGAACAGTAGTGAACTCAGATGTCGCCGACCGACCAAAATTACCCCAAGAGTGTAGCGACGACTCATCCAAAAGTTCACAAAGACCCCACAACATCTAAAGAGCTGCAGGCCTCACTTGCCTCAGTTAAGCTCATTGTTCATGCCTCCACCATCAGAAAGATATTGGGCAAAAATAATTTTGAGTTCCAAAGGTGAAAACCACTACTGAACAAAAAGAACACAAAGGCTCGACTCAGTTTTACCAGAAAACCTCTTGATGATCCCCAAAACCTTTGAGAGAATACTCTGTGGACTGATGAGACAGAAGTCCACTTCTGAATGGCTTTAAGAAAAAGAAAAAAAATAAATAAATCCAATTGAAATGCTGTGGCATGACCTTAAAAAGGCAGTTCATGCTCAGAAACTCTTGAATGTGACTGAATCAAAATTCTGCAAAAATGAGTGGGCCCCGATTCCTCTGCAGCGCTGTAAAAGACTCATTGCCAGTTATCATAAACATTTGTTGCTGCTAAGGGTGGTCCAACCAGTTATTAGGTTTAGGGGGCATTTACTATTTCATACAGGGCCCGGTATATTTAGATTTTGTCTCCTCTTAATAATAAAGACCTTCGTTTATGAAATGCATTTTGTGTTTACTTGTGTTATCTTTGTTTCATATATTTAAATATGTTTGATGATCTGAAATATTTAAGTTGACAAATATTGGGGATGGGGATCTTTTGATTGAAGTCTGATTTTCGGGGCCACAATTCGATTCAAAACCGATTTTTCATTCAAAACTGATAAAGTAAGCCCATTCGTCGTATTCCCAAAGTGGTTTACTTTCACTTTGCAAACCTTGCACACAGTGAAGTTCGTGTGAAACTCAGACTCATTCGATAAAAAACAAAATGAGCCCAAATCTGTGCCTTCAATGAAGATGGGACCAGTTGAATCTCCCTTTCCTCCATTTTCATAGTTTCCAATTGGTTTTGGTGCTTTCTGCGCATGTATGATACATTCCAGAACCAGCTTCGTGGTGACGTCAGGACGTCCCACAATGTTACAAAATGGAAGCTGACAGCCATTGAATTTTTTTATCTTTTTCTTTTTTTTTAAATAGATTTTGGGACACCCTAGATAGATTCTGAGTCGTTGTAAATGAGAATCACAATTACAATGTGAATCTTATTTATGTAAAAGAATAAGAAATCAAACACTTTTTCACACCACTGTAAAYGACTCTTGCGTGTAGATTAGTCCATAAAGATACCATCTGGTGCAAGTGAAGAAATTTATTGGGGTTGTTTACTACTGACTTTTAAAGACACTACACATTGTATAGCCTTTTATTAGGTGAACAGTAATATAATTTTATAATGTGGTTATGTCTGATTGAATTGATGATTTTATGTAGGTAGATACATGCCTGAACACAAATTCAACACGTAACTGTTGATCGTCATAAGAGTAGAGTACTATTTTTGTCTGGAGGTGTGACTCTTTTGAGAGCAGAGGCCCCCTTCCTGATGACGTAATGAAATAGGCGGGGTTGTGCCTCGAAAGCGCYGTTATAAGAAAGTTGTCTAACGGTTTGTCGACTCGTCTCTGAAGCCACACAATAAACAGGTCTTCAGATAGAGCTCCATATGATCTTTATTATTCTTTTCCTTGCAGTGGTACGGTACATTCTCCATATGGTTCAAGCACACAAACTGGTAAAAGAACATGCATAACAATATTTTCTTTCACAATGGTTCTAAAACTTTTCAGTTTCTGACCCACAGAATATCAGTAGCAGAGACCTGTGCCCCTACTATTTTTGGGTGATAAACATTAGTATCAGGTCAAGTAAAAAACAACATAATACCAATAATCATTCAACGAATTTGATCCATTTTTTTTTCACTAACCTCGCTCTTTTGGAACAACTAAGGCAAGACCCCACTTCGATATTTGGGAACCACTTGTCTCATGATCCCTGGAGCTGAAATATTGAATGTCTTCAGAAATATATTTTTTGTCTTATTTTGTATTTATTTATTTATTTTACTTTATTTTAATTATTTTTCTCTTTGGTAGAAGCAAAGATACAATCAACACATTATAGCCACTGTACAAGCAGCCTTAAGTCAGTCCAAAAAGAAAATTGGCAGAGACCCTTTTGTCTTATAAATGGTTATAATTTGCTTTGGAATTGACCATTTTATTCTGCCGGGAAATCCCTACATACAGCAGGTAAAATAAGTATTGAACACGTCAACATATCCATCCATCCATCCATCCATCCATCCATCCATCCATTTTCTTCCGCCTATCCGGGG